AACTGTCCATCAGTGAACACGAAAGACTACGCAGTGATAGTCACTTCAGTGAATCATCTCATAGCATTGCTCAACGGGCCACTCGGAGACGTTTCTGTTTTTGTGGCTTCAAAACTGCCATATCAAATTGAGCGAGATATGTCTCTAGACCCTCTTCCTCAAATCGTGGGGTGCCAAACCAAGACCCTCTCTCTTGTCTGTCTGCGCTGCCACCACGTATCCCGCTACACAAAACCATCTTCTCTATCGTCAATCTCATGTGAATCAAAAATGAGAAACAAGACAAGTCCTAGAGCAAGCAGAGTAGATGTGCGAGATCAATAATACAAAAGTACGCAAAAGAGGAAAGGTCGAACATCCAACCTCCTCGAATCCATCCAATCATCAAATCATTAGCTGGCCCCGCGCCAGATCAACGTTTTTGTCACAGGTTTCCAACACACCGAGCCCTAGTACACATTTACTGGCTTTGAAAGTTCTGATAATCCAAATTCCAGTCGATAGACTGGAACGGGTCCTGTGACGCTTGCGAGTATCCCAAGCCAGCACTTGGCACTTCGCCAAAGAGTGGCTCGTACATCTTGGTCACGTTGTTGGCGGGGAAGAGCTGGAAGTCGTTGCCGCAAAACTCGTTTCCACCACCAGTGTAGTTGTCCTCGAAGCCCTCATCGACTTCGGCCAACGAGTTTGGCGTGAAGAGCATCGCGTTGCCCTGGCCAATAGGAGAGATGTGTGGTGCCGTCTGGGCAGGAGCAATCTGAGGCTGGCAAGCAGGGACGGGCTGGTAAATGGGGAAAGCCATGTTCAGCTCCTTCTGAGCGAAGACGGCTCTGTCTGGGGTGGGGATCTGGGCGTGTGCGCCGTAAATGTCTTCGTTCACAGTAAAGTCGGGACCGTCCTGGTAAATGTACGGGCCGTTCGAGATTTCGGTGGCAGGGGTATTGTGGTCGGAGGGAGACAGGGACATCTCCAAGTCCATCTGTCCATCGAATCCACCACCAACCATTTGGTCAAACTCCTCGTCCGAGATGTAGGAAGGGAACTCCATGCCATCAATGTGGGAAGCAAAGTCGCCCACGGGGCCGATGGGGTGCATGGGAGCCAGGAGAGGGTCGTTGAAGTTGAACTGCTGAGCCTGGTCCAGCGGAGCAGGCGGGGTAGCGGCACTGCTTGTAGAGGGAGTAGGCATTTGGTTGAGCAGAGGGGTGGAGTGGGTGACACTGCCGGTGACACTGCCGGCGACGCTCGAAGGCTTCTTGCCGTTGGTCTTGGTGCGAACGTATTGCCAGCCATGGGCCTTTTCCATGTGCTGTTTGCAGTTTGACTCCCGCTTGGACTTGTACGGGCAGGGCTTGTACAAGCACTCGTACATGGGCGGGGCTGACGAGTGCTTGTCGTTGTGGTGGCGGTCCATCTCCTTCTCCGTCGGCCAGCCATAGTTGTGATATTTGCATGAAGAGACGGGGCACTTCCAAGGACGAGAGTGGGTCTTCTCGTGCTTGGTCAGGTCGCAGGGACGCTTGAACTCCTTGTTGCAGCCAGGCTCGCGGCACTTCTTGGGAGCAAGCTCCTCAGGGCTGGCGTTCTTCTTGCGGCGGGCCATGGAACGCATAATCTCCTCGTCATCCTCCAACTGCTGGCTCAATGAGCGCTTCATCTGAATGGGGCTCTTGGGGTCATCCAGGTCGACCTCCAGACCAGTAGCCATAGAAATGGCCTTTCCGTCCTTGCGAATGCGGATGAGCTCGGCCGGGCGGCCATTGTCAGCGATGCCTCCGAAGAGCTTGATCTCGTCGGTGCTACGGAATATGTTAGTTGAGTGAGGGGCAAGTTGGGAACGGGTGTCGTACGGGTCGACGTCCATCTCGGCAGCGTCTGATCCAGTCTCCTTGGCGGCAGCAAGTTGTCCTGCGTACTGGCGAATCTGTTCCACGAGATCGATGAAATATCCGTTAGTGTAAGGGCGGTCGTTGGGTCGAGTCTGTTCTCGGTCGCTTAGGTATTCCACGGTTGCTTGAATGCAGTGGATCGACGTCAGGCAGAAATCCAGGTACAAGGCGGCGGTCTTGGTCCTCTCCTTCATCAACGATCGATAAGTAATTGCCCCAGTTTCCAGTTTCAGTTAGTGGATGACTTACGGGTGCCATGAAAACAAGTGTCTTTTCGAGATCTCTCAAGCAGATGATCTCCTTCTCTCTGATGCGTCTGGGGATGTCAAGAACAATCGGCTCAAAGTCCTTGAGAGCAGGCTTGGCCCTGAGGGGGCGAAGGACGTGCTCGTGGATGCGGTTGACAGCCTTGGAGCTGAGAGCGGGAAGCTTCTCCATGGTGGCAGAAGAAGTGTTGGCAGCGGACCTGGTGATGGCGGATGCCTTCTTTGATGCGGTGGTTGCAGGCTCTGTCTCGGTGGTGGGTGCGACAGAGGTTCCGAGTCCGCTGTCTGATTCATGATGTCTCGAGGAACGGCGGGTTCTGGGGCGCAGAATGCGACGTTCCGTCTCCTTTGACTTTTCCTTTGCCATGGCGGGGTCGACAACGGGCAGGTTGAGGAAGCCTCTGGGAACGGGAAGGCTGTCGTCGCGAAAAGACTTTGTCTTGGGGGAGACAAGGTTGATGTTGGCAAGCGACTTGTCAATGTCGTCGACAATCAAGGCCATGCGGCGGCAGTGGGCGTCGACAACGTCGTCCAGGTTGGTCTGGGAGCGTCTCAGGCTTGGAGGAGCAGCAGTCAAGGCATCGTCCAGAGAAGAGGTAGGACTGGTGGGAGAGTGGAAGGTAGCGCCCTTGCGGAGGCTGTTGGTCTTAAGAGTGAGGCCAGTGCCGGCAGGAGACTCCGGGCGAGTCACCGGAGTCCTGCGTCGAGGGTTGACGGAGACGGACATGGTGACGGTGATGACACGGGTGTCCAGAACTCTGTCGGCTAGGATGTGTTAAATCTCTTGAGGGTTCATCGAGTTGCAGGGCTGAATAGGACACGGAGTGTGAGTCACGACTAGGACCTCACTGGTAGGTCTGAAGTAGTAGTAGTCCTAGCCTCTTGAGCAAGCCCAAGGTTTAGGATTGGCCGATGTGATGAAGTGGCGGGATAGGTTTGAGACGGAGATTGTGTGGACAAGTGGATGAAGAGGGGAAAGATGAAGAGGAAGAGACGGGGCCTTACGTTGAGATGGAAGATGGTATCGAAGGCGATAACGATGTTGCGATGGATGACAACGGAAGGCCAGACAAGGCGAAGAGAAGAGCGAGCAGAGCAGGCGGGTGGATTTAAGTCGAGGCCGTTAAAGTCTGCCTGATTTTGAGGGGTCTGTCTGCGGGTAGAGGAGCAAGAAAATGTGCGATAATGCGCCTTTTCGTCCCAGCTGTCGTACGCGTCGGCGTGTGCACACGAGGATGAAAAAGGGCAGACGTAGGTGGTGGGAGTTTGCTGTGTGCGATATTCTTTGAGGATGTGTATCCGGGTGGAGGAAGAAGCGGACTGAAGTGCGGCGGCCTCAGTGGGACAAGACGGGATTGGGTTTGGTGTCGAGTAAGTATGCGGCTTGGGTGTCCTAGAAATCAAGGACAGCGAAAAATGAGGAAGAAAAGTAGGAGGAGGAAGAGGATTCGGTCGAGGATTGAGGGTGGGTGGAAGGAGAGAGAAGAGGCGTCTGGTCGTCGCGAGCGAGGAGGTGGTTGTTTTGGTATACCGGGGGGGGGGGGGGTCGAAGGTCGTCGAGGTGGTTGATTAGAAAAGCAGCCCTGGAGCAGTGAGCAGACGGGAGTGAGAGTCCAGCAGCCAAACGACGGGAGCACAGGTGGAGAGAGAGCGCTGCTGCGCTGAACGCTGAAAGCCGAACGGGGAGCGACAATTGAGAATGAGCGGACCAGAAACTCTGAAGAGAGCGCCCGGGGCGAAAGGCTGCTGCCTAATCGACCAGCCAATGGGAGAAGGTCGCCGCCAACCAGTGGAGGCGGAGTCTGGGCTTTGCGGATCAGGAAGGATCCAACCCCCAGTCACCACCTTCCTTACCTCATAATCAAAAGATACGTACCGCTCCCAAGGTACCCTCCACCCTTGAACCCCACCGCCTTTGGTACGTACTCTATACCTTACTCCGTATCCGTACCTTACTGCCCATTGAATTCCATCATCTCCCACAGCTGTCAGTCCCATCCTCGGTCTCCTCGGTCTCAACCTCCAGAGTCCCATCGTCTCGTCTCTTTGCGATACATCATTCGTCCAAAATGGAAATGAAAGATTCTCGCCAGTATTATCCGTTAAGACCGCCCGCCGGCGCCTACCTAACACTTCGTACGGACACCAAGTCAAACTCCACTCGCTCCAAACAATGTTGGCTGCACCTCATTCCGTTCCACCTGAACATTGAAAGACCCGCTGTTAGCGTCACCGCAGCTCTGCAGGCCGCTGCCCAAACTGCACGGCGGTGGACAAACCCCATGAGCACAGCCCCCCGAATCAAGCATCAAAGTACATGATTAGCACTGATTGCCTTACCTCTCACCACCTCGCATCAATTTCCCTCTCAGGAATGATACCATCACCATTACTCTGCCCCATCAAGAGACACCCAGCCGCCAGAGTAACGGCAACCCGGAATACCACAAGCTAGCTGTCCTCGCTGGGTCACTGGGTTCACTGGGTGTCAGAAATGAACACCATGCACTGCAACTCGACCGCCCATGCTACCAATATGACGCTGCTGTCAGCAAAATAATGGGACCTCAACCAGCCAATGGCCCCGACTCCGACTCCGTGTCTATTGTTGTTGCTGCCGCCGCTTGTCACCTTCACTGCTGTTTGTCACTCGCTGTCCAGTTCGGGAGCCCTGGCACGATTACCTACTGTTCACCATTGTGCATGGCACCTATTCAACATCCATACCGCCGCGCACCTCACCTAAGGCAGACGAATTCTCTGGTCCCTGAATGCTCCGTTCGAGGGGCGGGAAACGCAAACCCATCACAAACTACAGATAATACAGAGTGCATTACGCCAGAACGGTGTATCGGATTGACGGCTGCCTTCTCCAGCTCGCAAATCTAGATGGGTCCCGAGAAGCGGGAAACGCAAGGGTCTGGCCCGGTACTGTATTCGAAAGCAGGGTGCGCCAGCCGGACGGGCGCCAGAACATCTCCCTGAGTCCCCCTACGAAGTACTTGCACAGAGTCACCTCACAAATGGAGACGGCAGCAAGGCGTGACCGCAGTTGGGGGTGTATCGCAAGGTTCGATCAAGTTTCAACATGCACCGCTGAAGATGAGCTGAAGTGGGCTATTGGGCATCCTCATCTCTTGACGTTGCCCACAGTACTCCGGAGTGTACACTCGAAACCCCAAGGAGACGATTCGGCTGTACAGCCTCACCTGCGTCGTGAGAGTCGGGACGCGTTCGTCCAGATCAACATACGAATGACCAGAAACGCATCTTGCATAGCCAAGCTCGCCAGTCACCAGTGTCATCTATTCTCACGATGCCGCATTGCACAGCACTCCTCCGTGCCATACCACCATACCAATAGAGCACAGCACAGCACAGCACAGCACAGCACAGCACAGCACAGCATAGCATAGCTCACTCTGATTGCTCTCCATCATGCACACCTGTTGCACCGGTCGTGGCTTTGAGGCCGCTAACGGTAGGGCGGCAAGCTAAGAGTCCTCAAGAGAACCAAGACACGAACAAGACTGGGCAAGACTGGAGAGGGACTTATAGTCTCATGCACGGTACCTTTTTTACACTCGGAAACTGGGTCAGGGATTAGACTTAATTTGGCCTCTCTCTTGAGTCTCTCTGAGTCTCTCTCGCTTACCCCGGTCGAGATCAGCCCATCAGAACCAAAGTCCCAAAGCTAACCCGCTCATCAATCTCCACCCGCCAGCCCGATCCATGACTTCCCACTGGGTCGTTTCATTCTCCGCCAACCTGGGACCATTCCCAAGCGAACTGTTGGCTGGTCTTACTGTCTTACATACTCCAAATTCCGCTCTTCTGTCACTCAAAGTCTCAAAGAGCACTCAGCCTCCTCCGCAGGCCCTCAAGGTCGCAGCCATGCCATGCTGCCATCCACTCACTCACCCACTGGACGGAGGGTGTCTTTCGACAGGCCTGCTGAACGATGAGTAGATCAGGGCTCCCCTTGCGTTTACCAAAAACGGCAGACGAGGGCCCAGTTTGAATTGAGACCAACATCAACCCTCTCATTATGTCACCCTTCAACGCGGAAATTGACCAATGACGACGCCCTTGGCGGCCGTACGAAGTACGGACGAAGTACGGGTACCATTTCTCGCCCGTTGCTGATACCTATCACCAGTATCCATCAACCCGTGGTCCGTGACATGTGGAGTTTATTGAAAACGGTCCACTACGGACCAACTGCCATGGCCTCTGCTTACTGTTGGGGGCCGATCGAGCCAGCTCATCCACGGACCAGGAGAGGAGAAACGACAGAACAGACAAAAGCTTTGCTTCAACTTCCGGTCAAGGTCGGCATTTTCGTCCGGCCTGGTCACTAGACCACGGGACAGGCAGGGGTCGGAATGGCCAGCGGGCGCTCTGGTTCTCTATCCCACCCACCAAGATTACATATCCAGTCTGATTAGCCAAGCAAAGCCCACCAGTCTGGGTCTGGGTCGGCCGAATGACGTTCGGGACAGAGCACGCGGTAACAGGGTTACAGTTTGAATAATGAGAATTCTGAATCTCTGGACTCTGGTGCGGGTTACGATTGGTAACTCGCAGCGTCGCACGAGCGACCGTTCGCATTTCACCTAATCGGGATTCAGGGACTCTTGGGGTCTGGGAGTCTGGGACACGAACATGAGCAGCAACATGGACCTGCATGTCTTGACTCGTCAGTCGTCACCTAGCTTGCGTTGGTTGAAGCTTGGCGCTTTGCTCTGACGGTGCTGGATTGCGCGGTTGCGCACATCACCAACGAAATCCGTACCTAGGGATTCGTAGTCTTGTCGTGTATGCTTGTCTGCTGCACAGGACTTTGGCGCAGGGAAAGTCGCATGACGGATGCGCGTCTGCTCGCAGGAACACATTCAAACGAACCTTGGTCAACCAATTGCTCACCACCATCACCACTCGCACTCGCACAACCCTCCCGGTCCCTCTCCACACGTAGGGCTGGCGTGGCTGTCCACCTGTCCCAGTGACTCTAAAAGTCTCCAATTCAAGCCAATCCAAGGTGTTTACCGACAGACGAAAGAAGCAAGAAACTCAAAGCAAGCAAGCTTTTTGACTCAAAATCGGTTCCCGGCTCACCGTCCACACACAGTCACTTACCCCGAACGCAGGAGAGAGGCGGCGTCCCATCGTGGTGTACGGTGCACTCGATAACTTAGCCGCCTCGTCAGCACCTACATGGCCGTTCCTGAACACGCCGAATCCCGCACCCCGTATTCCAGGACCCTAAAAAAGAATGCAAGAGTTAGGACTCGTTAGGAAACAAACCCCCTCATTCCAACGGGTATCGGTTCATCCGCAAAGCCTGCGCTGCTGTCCCATTGGCTCAAGAAGCCCATCGTGTATCGACGACACGTAGGCGGTCACGAATCAACGATCCCGACCCCAACTGTCTGCCCGCCGGTCAGCCCTATGGGTGTCCATCTTGGCCAATCAGCTTTGTGGAAATAGAGCAGCCTATCACCAAACTCCGCTTCGCCGATCAATTGCGGCCACCTCTTTTTTTCTTGCCAGGACGTTCGACCGCGTCGTAACAAGGCATCAGCATTTCGGCTTCTTTGTTGGGCCAGTAATTGCGATACGTACCGTTCCCTCGCATCTTTGAACCGATGCAGTAGACAGACACACACCCGTTTCCCGAGACCACGTTCGTTCCCACCTGACGCACAATAGACAAGAGCTGGTGTCAAACAGATCTAGGTAGAGGAGCCCGTCACTGATTGGACTAACACAGAGGCCACGAATCTGCATCAACGCAAAGAAACCAGGAAGCATTGTGACACTGGTGTTGTCTATTCTCTCTGCCTTGCGTTTGTTTCCTTCCACTAGACCCTTTGAAGGGTTAATCCGTTCCCAAGTCATGCACGTCAGGTTCCCAATGGGCCTCCAAGTTGAACCTTCTCTCAAGCGGCCCTCAGACATGGTACACACTATGATTTCTTTGGGGAGACGATGTGCCAGCTGGGGACAAGGATGGCCAGATCGCAGGAAACATGGCCTACTCTATTTCTCTACTTTCTAATCAGAGGAATGCTCTCCCTGCCTCTCCCCCCTTCACCAGCCACGCGGCTGAAGCTCACCGTTGCTCTCTAATTAGAGACCCTTCGCCACAGCATCTCGACCTCGTCCATCAGCTCCTCCAGTGGCAACTCGGGGGTCCATCCCGCTCCTTCGATGCGTGGCTCCGGGCTGCTGCTGACTACTGCGCGGTGGTGGTGGTCCACCTGCTGCTGATCCCGGCTACTCCGTGCTTCTCCTTTCTCGTGGGTGGCGTTCACTTGTAGTAGAGGACGGCTTGCGTGCGCGGTACTACGGGTTAGCCCTCCGGTTCCTTCGGCCGTCCCTTCCACCGCGCGGGGAGATGTCGCTTGTTTGGTCGTTTTCTTCTTGATTTTCAGGGGCGTGGGGAGGAGGTGGAACGTGGATTCACGGACGTATGAGGGTATTGGCGAGGGCTGGGTGGGAGGATGGGATGTAGGACCACTTGGTCCCTGGTGTTGTTGATGTTGACGATGCTGCTGCCGTTGTCTGTCGTGACTTACCGGTATCCGCTGTTCTTGCGGCTGCTGCTGCTGCTGCTGCTGCTGCTGTCGATGGTAGGGTTGATGGGCCCCTTGGTTCTCTCCTCGACGATGCTGCTGGGAGGTTTCCCCCTCGCGGGCCTCGTGAAATCGCTTATTAAACCACGGTGAGGTTGGAGATTTCTCCCTTGAACACTGTAGAGCTGCACCAGCAACACCGCCTCTGCCGTCTCTACTCGTACTGTTGCCATCGTGGCCACTCCTCGGCCGCTCTGGAGCCCCCAGGTCCTGATACCGACGCACATCCTCCCCCCGCCGCGAGGCCTTCTGCCCTCGTTCTCCTGGAGCACCGTAAGCATCATACCTACCAGTACCTCTCAAGTCCGGACGCCTCTCCTGCTGCTGATGCTGGTGGTGCTGCCGCGTCCTGCTCGGCGCCGGCGTCGACGGAACGGCCTGCATCGCCGCGACGGCCTTTTCTTGGACGCAGCGGGGACACTTTCCGCCTACGGGGCTCAGGCAGCGTTTTCTTCCGCGGCAGGTGCTGGATGTGAACGATTCGTGAGCTTGTGGTGGTGGTGGTGGTGGTGTGGAGGGGCAGGCGAAGAAGCATGGGCAGAGGAGGAATATCCAGGAAGGGTTTTTGCGTTTTTGTCGTGCTCTGTTGTGGTTCCGAACCGAGTTGACGGAGGAGGACGTGAAGCTTGACGCGTAGTTGAGTTTTCGGGATTTGTGGTCTGCGCAGTCTATGTCTTCAAAGACGCTGTGGTGGCAGTCTGTGTAGATTATTTGTTTTTCCCAGCACATTTTCGTCTTTGAGGGCTTGCACTGAGTTCCCCAGTGATGTTTGAAAAGTTGTACTTACCTCTATGTTATGTATACCTTTTGCCTGAAGTTGATATTGGGATTTGGGTTGGTTTAGTTCCGAGACTTTGAAAAGCCTCTGAAGGCAGGCAACGGTGTCGTTTCGATTTTTGGCTGGTGTATACGATTGGCTTCTCAAGACATTCTCTTCTTCTTTCCTAAGCCGAGAGACGGAGAGAAGTTTTGACTTGCCACTTTTTGTATCGACGAGGGGAGGTAAGTTGGGAGGTAAGTTGGGAGGTAAGTTGGGAGGTATGGGAAAAAGGAGGCTGGGACAATGCCTTGTGTTCTAATTTAACTTGATCCCTATAGTTCTTTCAAAAGAAGATGTAGATGGTTGACTATCACAAGGACTTTGTCTTCGAATTATGGTTTGTTTCTCTTAGTTGTGACGCTCGACAACCACATTGTTCACTTCGAGTGGTCTTTAATTAGACGTAGATGTCAACAGACGGCCTAGATCATTGCTCGCTGGATACCTGGCCAGCGGCTATGTGGTAGCTTCGAGGCAGACCATCCCATTTTCCCCGTGTTATCGAATTTCTCATTGCACGATTTGAAGCCGAGCAGACATACCTGTTCGTCCTTGAGAGTTTTGCTTTACTGGGGGAAGAGAGACCCAAAAGAACAGGCGGGGGTACCTTGAAGTAAATCAGCCGGCTAGACGTCGTCGGGAACAATTGCAACAGTGCAACCTACTTCCAATTGCAATGCAACAGTGCGACCTACTTCCAATTGTCACAGAACAAAGAGGTTCCTTCTTCCGGAACATTCGTTGTTCTGTTCCTGGAAACTCTGCTCCGTTCGAGAAGGGTTCTCGAAGAAAACGTCCGGGCCTTCATGTTTGCCCTGGATTTGTTTCCCTTCTTCTTGCCCTTGATTGGTGAAGACATGGATCTAGAAACCAGTTCCGACTACTGTTTTGTTGTTGAAGAAAGTCGATGTTTCAAAATAAATAAATAAATAAAAACCCCCCTTTTGGATTTTCCCAAAGATCGAGGCTGAGATTCTACGAGATCAAAAGACGGCTAATGAGATTATTGTCATGTTCGTTCCGAAGCTGTTCCAGGGCCCCGAGAAACGGCCAACCTTCCGTTACAAGCCTATTCGAGGACAATGGAAAGGTAAAGAGTCTCACGGGAAACCCATATTTCTTTGATAGCACGGATTTTGGTGCTTCCCCTTCCCTTTTGCCCTAAGAGCAAGGGGTTAGTAACAATGCTGCTTCTTTATTAGGTAGATGCCCGGTTTCTGGTAACAAGTAAAGGCAACAAGAAGGGAAAATACGCCCTTCCTTGAGTTCCATCTGAGTCAAAAAGCAGTCAGCCCAACTCATTTCAATCGTTGACTGTACATTGCTTCCCCTTCGACTTTTTCTACTCTTACCAATTTCCGTTTCTCTAGACCGAAAAGCACAATTACGGGGAAACAAGTTGATTCTTCAATCTCAAGGAATAATGGGTTTCACCTGGCCATCACTAGGACGCTGGACGTCCAACAGAAGCAGAACCTCGAGATCATCACGCGAACCCTACCGTCACCGCCCTACAACGACGACGACGACCAAGACGATGGAGTGTTACTCTCCCACCACCGATCAAGCCCACGAAGACAACCAGCAACCACAACATAACCACACTAAAGGAATGTACATCTATGACGCACCCGATTCCTCCGCATACGACGACTCGTCACTCACAGAAGCCCAATCGCATCGCCCCTCGGCCCCTCCAGCCCAAGGTGTCGAGGAGACGGAGTCGTTGCTCAGAGGTGAGTCCCCCGCGGCGCTCATCGAGCTCATCCGGTGGACGGAAGGCGCTGAACGGCGGGTGAGGAGAAGTGATAAGCTCAAGTACCTCAGTTCGGACGACGACGCGCTACACGTTCGATTTGGAACCACGACGACGGTCTACGGGAGGGGAGGAGAAGGAACCGCTGAATACGACGATGACTTCTTTTTTTCCCCCGCGAAGGAGGACTACGGCCGAGACGAGACGGCGGATTGGGAGGAGTACGACGACGACGTTGACGGGCAGGAGTTTGAGGATTGGAAGGGCGGTGGATGTGGGTGCGAATGTGAAGGCGGGGGACGTGATGAAGAGGACGAGGAGCTTGAAGAGGAGCGCGATGAAGCGGAAGAGGTAATTCGTCACAGTCATGGCCGGCGCGGGTCACAGGTCGTTGGTTCTTCACGTGGTGATCAAGAGGGAGAAGACGGTGCTAATTCTCGACGTCATAGGTCGGAGGCGCAAAAGGGAGAGACGGGGGAGGCGATGCCTTCTTTCGAGATGTGTAGGGGGATTATGCGAGACGGGCTGCGTTCGCACCCGACCAACGGCGCGGTCTCGGGTTGTTTGATGACGGTCGAGGAGCCTGGGAGATCGTTGACGGCGAGGGAGGAGGGGATGGAGATGACGTTGGTCGATTATTCCAGCGAAGAGACGTCTGCTGCGGAAGAAGACCCCTCTGATGGTGAGGGTAGTCGGCCCCGTCTGCCGTCGCTCTACTTTGAGGATCTGAGGAGTATGGTTGAAGAGGCGGGGAATCCGAGCCCCTTGATCTCGGGGGCGGATGTAGTCGATGGGAATGGGGATGAGCAGATGGGCGAGGAAGAGTCGAGCTCCTCCACGCTGGATACGGAAGTGTTGTTTGATTTCTCCGAGTATGACACCGTCGACGTACAAGGAGAGGGACATGAGAAGTCGCTTGGGGACATGTTGAGCTCCTTTCCTGGAGAGTTTGAGGGGTGGCAGACTGATGCTGATGAAGAGGAGAATCTCCCTCCGACGGCAGCTCACGAGATTATTCGTCCCATCACCGGGCTGGGTTGGTACGACGACGCCGAAAGATCAAGTTGTTCTGATATTCGTCCCCAGGTTTTGGTGACGAGCATCACCAGAGAAGACGGGGATTCCAACACAGCATCAGACAGGTCGTCAACGTTCCCTGCTCGGAAAGATTCGTTGAAATACAGTCCCCAAGCTCTTACCTTTTCCGAAGCGTCTTACGCGGCCGAGAAAGCGGATAGCTTCACCACGTCGGAAGAAGGTGGTTTCGGTGGCACGCCTATGAGAGCCGTCTTTGACAATACGAGCCACTTCTTCCAGTCGACCACCGTGGAAGACGAACACTGGATATCAACGCCAACATCACCAAGGTCCCCGCGACGCTCGTCATCCGTCTACTCCGAAGACTCCTCAGAAAATGAAGACTCTCTCTCCCCCACCTCAAAGACATCCCCAACTTCCCCGAGCGAGGACGAAGAAGATGAAGAAGAGATAGACGATCTCCTAGACATCTACGCAACCACAACCTCCTCCCACCCCTCCCACACCCTCTCCCCAACAACCGACAAAGACCTCCTCCCCCCCTACCATCCCTCCTCCCCATCCGCCCTCATCCCTCTCACCACAATCGCCCGAGGCCTCTCCCTCCCACAAACAACCCCCTACAACGCCCTCCAAACCCACCTCGCCCGCAACGCAAACATCCTCCGCTACCTAACCCTCCACTGCGTCCCCTACCCCTCCATAAACCCGCTCGAACCCCAAACCGACCTCGTCGAACCCATCCTGCCCCTGCCCCTGACCCCCGGATCAGGAGAATACACCCAAAACTTCCCCTCCCACCCGCGCAGGCGCGGGTACACCCGCCTCCTCCAAGCCATACGCTCCGTGCAGTGGTCAGCAGACGCAATCAACGACATGCTCGCCGTAGTAGACTTCCACTCCCCTCTACCACCCCCTTCATCTCCGTCATTCTCAACGTACACTTCGCACAGACGAACCTCAGCAGCCCTCCCCGCCTTTCGAAAACTCCGCGCCGCGGATGCAGAGAGGCGGGGATACCTTACCTCGGCGCAGCTGCACGAGCTCAGCACGCACGGTATCTCGCTCCTCGACGTGCTGCAGATGAACGACGTCCCGCGGGTCGTGAGCTCCGGGTTGGGCGGGCGGCTGGTTGCTGCCGCGGCGTCTGGGGCGTTGGGCGTGGCGAGGGAGTGTAATCTGCTTGATGAGGAGGGGGCGTTGTTGGAGTTGCTTGCTGATCCGGAAGAGGAGATTGGCACGAGGTTGAGGATCCGGGGTCAGGGGAGCCGAGGGGGGGCAGGGAGCGGGCTGAGGTGTTGTGTTGGTGTTGATGATGAAGATGAGATGGATGTTGAGAATGGAAGGGTGGATGACGATATGGATGAGGATGAGGATGAGAACGAGGATGGGGGGTATGTGGAGGGAATGTATGACGGCCTCGTCGACGAGATGGGAGCAGGGCACATCGTTGATGATGGGTCGTACCTCGTTAGCCCCTTATCCCCCGAAACGTTCACCGCAGAACAGGACTGGGAGGACCATGGTGGTGTCCCCCTAGCGGTGACGATGTCTCAACCATCAGAGGACCTCATGACGTTCTCCGACGATGAAGACGACGAGGAGGATGACATCTACGATCCATTTACAGACTCCAATCCGGAACAGCCAGAGACAGACCTCCACGTCAAACCGCTAAACATACCGAGAAAGAAACCCACGCTCAAGAGGTCACATAACTTTCGAGAAATCGATACCACTGGCGATGAGACTACTACCGCGGTTCTGGTCGACGAAGAGACGGGCGAGGACCCGGAGCTGCGGCGGTTCTTCAACGAGATTGGGGCGCGAGTGGTTGCTACCAGGTCAAACATGGTTATCGAGTGAGGTAGAGAAGGGCCAGTAAGGAATTGACGACGATATGCCATATCCCATTTCGAACAAGTCTGTAATTCTCATCGAGTGGCCCCAGAGAAGGAAGGAAGAAAGGAAGGCTAGAACTATACATCGACGAGGCATTTTTGTTCCGGCGTGAGTACCTACCTACCATACCTTAGAATGAGAATAGAAATACTCGGAATATACAACAGGACCAAAGGTATATACCCCCCCTCAATCCCGATTTCCGTCACCACAACCAGCAGGCACCCGTCTAGGCCGACGGGTCAGGTCAAACTGGGATGGGTGGGGGAGTGGTATATGGTTAACAATAAATCCCAGCATGAGCACCAAGAGATGTAGCCCCCAGTTCAACACCGGGGAGGGGTTGGGGGGTGAACTCTTTTTTGTTCAGTCTTTTGAGACCATCTAATACCTGTATGTAGTCGGTCTAGGAAGCCAACAGGAAGAGCATGGGCGTCTTGACTTTTGTACACCATATAAAACATCTGTAGAAACCTAAACAACACATCCAATGGGTATCTTTTTCCTTTTCCATCCTCGTCCTCACCACCCTTTCGATCCTCTCCCTCATACATGAGCCCATCCATTGTACACAAGCACCTGCCCCTCATTAATCAAACAATCAACCCCCTTCTCACTCCTCTTCTTCTGATCACCACCTCCACGCGCCTCCCACTCCCCAACCCTCTTCCTAACAACCCACTCCTTAACCCTCTCACTCGTCAAAGCCCTCCTAACCCTCCCCTCCCAAACACCCACCACAATTCTCCACACAGAAAGCCAACTCCCCCCACCAGCCGGATTCATAGCCTCATACGCAGCAGGCGAATAACCCACCCTCACCCTCGGATTCACAAACACCCCCAACTCCCGCGTCAACGGATTATCAACATGCACAAGACAGCACTCGCTCGCCTCGAGATGCGCCTCCTCCGCCAACGAATCCGCCACCCCGCGAAACTCGAGCCTCTTGCCGCGGTTCGCGAGAAAGGGCGCCGCCGGCATCGCAACGATCCCGTTCCAACAGCTCCGCACGGGGACGGCGTCCGAGTACGCCATCATCGCGAGCCGGCTCGCCTCGGAGCGGAAGTACGGCCACCGCTGCATCAGCGTCGCCTGTCCCGCCGAGTCGCGCAGCGCGAACGTGTCGTAGTAGGATGGCGGGTGGGCAAAGTCGAGTGAGCAGGCTGCGGCGTAGAGGCCGCCGTTGGTGTCGAGCAGCGCGAGGACGTCGTCGGTCTGTTACTTCGTGTTAGCTCCCCCCTCCCCTGAAGACCTCAACAACGGTTTTCGAGCGTGCCCATAGCAAACCAGAAAGAGACACAATCTTACCGTAAACACAACATCATTCAAAAAAAGCACCGTATCAAACATCTCCCCCTCCTCCCCCAACTTCCACAAATCCCTTAACGTCAAATTCCTCAACCTCGCAAGAAACGGTATCCTCCTCATCTCCCTCTTTCCCCTCGGTGTCCGAATCCACCCCTCCCTCTCCTCCCCCTCCGCCGGAACCTCCTCCACCTCCTGCGCATGCGTCCTCTCATCCAGCACGACATTCCTCCTCACCCCCCTCTTCCCCAACACCCCGTCCAGCTCCCGCAGCGCCGCCTTCGTATCGTCCCAGCTCCCGCTCTCGTAGACCGAGACATAGACGTTGTCCCGCCCCAGCGCCTCGACGAGGTCCAGCACCGCTTTATTCCAGTGCGTCCGGATCACGGAGGCGTCGTTGTAGTGCATGCCGGCGATGTACACCCGCTCCGCGCGCCGCGGGCGGGTTGGGTCGTGGCGCGGGGCCGAGGTGATGCGGCGCTGGTAGCGGAGGGCGTCGAGGAGGATGTAGAGCGTTAGGAGGAGGGCGATGTTGCGGAAGGTGCGGGAGCGGAGGAGGCGGCGGGCGCTCAGGCGGAGGCCGTTGAGGAGGCCCATGGTATGTTTTTTTTTCTTTTCCGATCTGTTTTTCTCGGAGGTGATGTCGGCTGGCGTGCGCTCGAGCTACCGTCTGTGGTCGTTCGTTCGGGTGGTTCGAGCGGAGGGGAACCGCCGTCGAAGGACAAGAAATATACACGATAAGTCAGTGGGCAAAGGGAGAAAATGTGAGGTATGTCATGGACGCCATTGAAGCAGCTTGAACGGCAGAAGAGAGGAAAAAGAGGATCCTCCGGGTGTAAGAAGTCGATCTCCCCTCCTTCCTGCACTGGCCAAGACGAGCGAGCGAGAGAATCTCGTATTATCCGTAAGATAATAGTGGTAGGTAACACCAGGAGGCCGCGGGGACCTCAATCGTCAACGTGCTCAGTAATGGGAGGTAGCTTTCGACAGGGATCAGGTAAGGGTCGCTATTGTCAGTCTGTCACTAAGGTGCCTTATGCTGCAGCCTGCGGGCCATTGCCGTGGTGTCATTGGGTCCTGGCAGGGTTGACAGGGTCCGTTTTGGAAGCCTGGAGAAGACGGGGAGGCACGCGATTGGCCGCTACAGCACAGCTCGCCCCTGCACAAGACGACGACTCGACACTGGGCCAAGGCATGGCATTGCATGAGTTTGACTGATGCTTTTCTCTATGCACAGAACATGCTTTCACAAACTATCCGGTACCTTAGGTAGGTAGGCACACCATAGCTTCACATGAAGAAAAGGTCATCTGGAGTATATCATTGGACTCAAGAAAACTACTAATACACTCGACGCCCCCAATCATCCCCATTTTAATCCTCTACTGGACTCTGTGGTCACTGTATTCCCTTGACCTGTTCACGCTAGGTCGTTGGAGGTGAGGGCCCATCTGACTTCTGGGGCAATATCGTCTAGTAAGGTATCTGTATCAATCCCGCGTGGGGTCATGATGTACACGGCTTGCCCTTTATTTGGCAAAGTGCAGGTCGTATCCGAGCCACTTGCGACGGACAACCTCCTCAACAGTGAGGCCGGGGTATCCGTACGTCAAGGGCAGGAAGAAGTACCAGCCGGCGAGGGCAATAAGAAGGATAACGCCACAAGCGATCCAGGCGCCAGCAAGACTCTGACCGGCGAAGCGCTCACGGGCAGAAATGTGTCTCTTAGGTCCATCGGCCTTCTTGTTGCCGTTGATAGCCTCGTAGCCCTCCTCGGGAGCGGGCTCGGCGGTGAAGATGAACTCTAGAAGAGCACCAGCAACCAAACAGGAGGCTAAATGCGCCGGCAGGTAGTGGTGAAGGAAGAGTTGACGGCCCATCAGGTAGAAGGGGAAGTAGTGAGTAGCCCAGGCGAGGAAGAAGAAACCCGTAGAGTTGTACAAACGGGAACGGGTACCTACTGATGGTTAGCGACGGTGTTCCAAGACAGAAAAGGGAACGCACGGTACTTACGGTGGTCAAGAGCGTCAATGCCTCGTCTAAGTGACACCTGGTCCGCGCCGATGATACCGGCAAAGACTGCCAACAGACTGCTGGCGAGCCACCAGCCGATGGGGTTACCGAGGAAGTAGATCTGCTGGCGGGTGTCGTTCTGAGTCCAGAAGCTGACACCGCGAAGCAGGAAGGGCCATTGGTAGGGGTGGCTGGCGTACGGATGGCTACTGGTCAACTGGTTGTTGTGCCAGAACATGGAGCGCTGAAGCTCGAACCACTTGCGGAAGAAGGACAGGGTCTTAACCTCCTTCTCCGGCTTTTCGCGTCTCTTAGAGTCCAAGGGGATCGCGGGGAGATCCTCGACAAACCAGATATTGGAGCTCGGCGCCAACTGCTTGTTGCCGTTGATTTCCTGCTGCTTGTGGCCCCATTCCGGCAGAGGAGTGGTGTGCGTCCACATGGCAACCTTGCTGGGGTTGTGGATGAATTTGAAGTGACTCGAGATAGTCTTGAACTCCTGACCAGGCTTGCCGTTCTCAATGCGGATCTCAAATAGAGTATCGTTAAGACGGTCGCCGTAAGCATCAGCCAAAGGCACCGCGGTGAACTCCTGGTTCGTAGGGTAGTAGGGCGAGGCGACGTCGTGGGACAGCAACATGGTGTCGGTAGCCACGTGCCTGAGGCGGACAACGTCGTTGTTCTTGACTGCCTTGCCCGTCTTCTGATCGTCGATCAAGGGGATAATTTGCCAGTAGTTGTTGGTGTCGTTGTAAGGGTAGCCGGTGACCTGCTGGCCCTGGCTGGAAACACGACCGTCATCGTATCGCAGAGGGTAGTGGTCATCGTGGCTGTGCAGGTAGGTCTTGGTCTCCTTGTGGCGGATGCTGATGCTGTCGTAGTACTCCACGGTCAAGGAGTTGGCCAACATGACGTTGTCGCTGAGCGTCTCCTGGAACTCGGGGGTCATGAAGTCGTCGCCAGGACCAGATCGGGTCAGGACGGCGAAGTGGACCTGGAACCAGAAGAGGTAGAACAGGAAGGGCATGATGATCAAGCCAAAGGCGCGAGCAGCAAAGTGCTTGCCAAAGTCGGGGAGACTCAGGGCACCACCGGGTCTCTTGATATCCAAAAGACCCCAGAGATCGATAATCACAGCGGAGCCAATAGTGACGAAGGCGAAGAGTCCAACGTACTTTGTCGAGATATCAGCGGACAGGGCGAATCCGGTGAGGACCAGCCACTTCCACCACTTGCGCGAGAAGGGCTCGTGGCGCAGCTTGTAGAACTTGATGTAGCACAGTAAGCTGCAGGCCATGGCGAAGACGAGAGTGGCATCGAGAAGGACCAGACGCGTCTGACCAATGTGAGCGTTGTCGAGCAAGACGAGACCGGCGGCCAAAAGGCAGGCGGGCAAGCTGTAGCCAGACTCCCACATGATGAGATAGGTGACGGAGACGGTCAATGCGCCGAGAATGGCGGGCAGAGCTCGGAAGGCGACATAGGGCACTTTGTTGGAGATGTAGGAGTCGCCAATATTCTCGAAGTGGAAGTGTCCGTCGTAGCCAACGAGCCATCCCATAAAGGCAAAGAGGAGCTTTCCGAACGGAGGGTGGACATCGAAGAAGTAGGTTCTCTCGAGGTAGTAGGAGGCAAACTGTGTTAAAGGACAGTGTTAGCTGTCATGTGTTCTGGTGATTCTGATTCTGCAATATTTTTTCTCTCTCCATCTTCTCTTTTCTTCGTTCCCCCATCGGAAGACAAGTATAAACGTACCTTGCCAAAGTGAACTTCGTCAAAAACGACTTCATTGGGATGGCTGATGCCCCAGAAACGGGTGACGAAGGCGAGAATGGTGGTGATGAGAAGTCCGACGCCGTACTCGGGCTGAGAGACGGACCGCTTGGTCTTTGCACCGGCCTTGTTGAACGACTCGACGACGGCGTCAGCTGCACCGGCGGCGGGCGTGGTAGGCCGCTTTGCATTGTTGCGCTGGCGAACGCTGCCCTGCGGGGTGGCAGTCGTCGACGCCATGATGGGGGGTGGACGTGAGGGATTCGATGAAGGAGCTGCTCGGCGATGGAAAGGGGTTGTCAGTCCAAGCCTTGAGGCTGAAAAGTTTTGGGTTGAAGGTGTTTGCAAGCTGGGAATATTTGTTCCCTCGGGGAGCAGGTTCACCACAGAAGAAGGACAGATAGCTCCAACTGATTTGACCCTATGAGATTGGATTGGATCCAATGGATGGGTGGTACGTTTCGCACTAGGCGCGGTACCTTGGAGCTGTAAGGGAGCGAGCTCAGGGGCTTGTAGCTTACTTACACGCTATGAGGAAAAGTGGAGCGCGTCAGCCCTCACGTCACGTTTGGACAAAAGTCGAAGAGAAGGAAGGGAACGTAATGCAAAAAGGTGACGCGTTAAGGAATGACTTGAAGAAGAAGACGAAGAAAATTGCCGCCGGAAGAATCGAATTCTCACGATAATGGAGAAGAAGTTTTAGAAAAAGGCAGAAAATGGACAAGGAAGATCGATTATCTCCCCCGGTAACTTTGGCGGAAAAACTTGGGAGACCCCCTGACGACGTGCAGACTGCAGACTGACACTGAACCTTCCCGAAGACCAGATGGCCCTATTATCCGTAGTCTCAGGCTAGGGAACGGGATAATTTTTGGGGCAGGGATTGCTTTCTCTCTCTCTCTCTCCAGGGACCACCATGAGGACTGGACACTTGGCCAAAGTGAGAGAGCCATCAATATCATCCAGGTATTCACGCACTCATTCTGGTTCCTTGCCGGGCATTCAGTTCATTCCATTGGATGGAGTTGTGCTAACAATTTCGGAGTAGTGTTCCAAGGGCGGCTTGGGGAGACTCCTTAGAATTGGGAGAGCAAGGGCAGCTCCAGCCCACCTCACCTCTTCCCACCTTCCGCCGCGATAAGATAACGATCCCATGATGCTTCGTGGACGGTGGAGCGTCTGAATCTCCGACACAAAGCCACTATAAGAGATACATTGCACGCGCAGGCAGAGCAAGCTGTTACCCGGGATTCGGGAACATGTGCCTGCCCCCTTCTATGATTTGGTACCCAGAATAATCTGCCATTTCGACAAGAACTGTTGAACATGTCCAAGTTCTTCCTAATCCGTGATCAATACCATGTCCCCGAGCCTACCTCTGTAGTTTTAATACAACTTCAAATATGACTGCTGCGGAAATTCCACGAATCCAGCGTTCAGATATTCAGCATCGCATATTTCACAGGCATCTATCTACCTTAACACAACAAAGCTTACAAATAATCATGCAAGGTCATGTCAACCCAGGGCTGAAAGGCGCGTTCGACAGCATTACAAAACCGCAACTGGCCGCGCCGACAATCCACCCCTCCCGCACCGGGCCCAGCGCCGAAGAACGGAGGGCGTGCCGCACCACACATGCCACCAACGGCACCCCGCCCGAGCCCGCCCGTCCAATCGTGAAGCTCCAACTTTATATGTAGACCCTCAATTCGCCGCGTCCGCCCTACATCTCTACTCCAATTGCCCAATTGCTCATAACCCCGCGATAGTCCTCTCCTTCCCAATGTCCTCACTCTTCAGATCCGTCACAAGACTCTCATCCCGCGCCGCCGTCCGCTCAACACCACACATCATAACTAAATTTCACATCCAGCCTTTCAGTGTCAACGCAGCAAAGATGTCTGAGCAATCCATCGTCTTCACCAAGAACGCCCCGGCCGGTGAGTCCTATACCCCCATCCCCAACTATCATGGCCTCTGAGCAACCCAGACTGACAATCCAATTTCAACTAGCTCTTGGCCCCTACGTATGAAAACATCCCCCGCTTACCATTGAGCACCTTGAGAAAAGTCCTCATCTAACCATTATGAACCCCCCAAACAGTCCCAGGCCATCAAGACCCCCACCGCAATCTACTGCTCCGGCCAGATCCCCCTCACCCCCGAGGGCACCTTCGTCGAGGGCTCCGTCACCGACAAGACCAAGCAGTGCATCTCCAACCTCAAGGCCGTCCTCGTCGAGGCCGGCTCCTCCATTGAGAAGGTCGTCAAGGTCAACATTTTCCTCGCTGACATGGACGACTTTGCCGTGAGTTCCCCTCTCGTCTTTTCATCTCATTTTCCCCTAACAATCACGACAGGAGATGAACGGCGAGTACGAGAAGTGGTTCACCCACAAGCCCGCCCGCAGCTGCGTCGCCGTCAAGACTCTGCCCAAGAACGTTGACGTTGAGATTGAGTGCATTGCCCTCCCCTAGAGGCAAGGCTTATCTTCTAGGAGAGCTCGATCTGTGAAGGGATGAGCATCTTCTATAGATCTCAATGAATACCAAAAATAAAAATAAAAAATTAAACATCCATTCAGACGCATTCAGATTCAAGTGACCACCCAGGGTAACAATGCCGTGTACAAGAGTGCGAGATGTATGACTCTCCCCATGTGATTACTTCAATTATGGCTCTGGTTGTCTGTCTGCCGGAGTGTACTATACGCGATTCTTAGACTGTAATATTTGCAGAAGCTTGATTGAGCGAGCTCCCACCAGCAAGGCAGGTTTGTAGCTTCATGTCCACTTTCCAGCTGCAACAGAGAGCCTCGAAGGGAACCTTATTGCAACCAAACCTCAGCAACTGACGGGACAAGTAGTTTGCAATCCGCACACCCTACTAGATCCTCACCACGTCCATCTCTCACGAAAAGCAAAAGGGGAACCTCGAATGTAGGTAATATGCAGAAAGGTAGCTTGATGTTCTACACGCCCTTCCGTCTATCGGTACAAAATACACGCCCGCCTAAGGAAACCCCCCCTCTACCAAGCCAAAGCTCTGAAAAGGAAAGGAAGGCCCCTCGTCCTCTATTTCACGCCCCCCCCAGTACAGTCGTAGATTTCGTCTATTCCTCGTCGTCATCGGCAGCCTCGACGTACTTGTGGCGGATATCCTTCCATTGGCGCTACACATCGAGTCTCTGGTCAGCAAAAGTCCAAACCTACAGCCACGGTTCAAAGCCACTCGTAAACCCGATAGGTTTCCACAGTGACGCTGAAACCAGATTGCACCCGATGAGAGTACTTACGCCGCGGTTCAGGTAGTCCCAGTACTTGTTCATCGCACCGTTGAAGCCCCTAGAGCGCAAAAACAAAACATGTCAGCCCACGTATAATTCCCTCTCGGCTGCCCCGATACCTCGGACCCATCGGCCTCTTCGCTCCTCCAGGCCTCACCAAAGGTACCGGTATATCTCGAATTTCGCAAGGGGGAGGGAAACTCACATCTCGAAAGCAAAGCCCGTCGCAAAGACGAAGCCGAGCATGGAGAAGTTGTTCTTGAAGATAGCGCTGTACGACCAATCCACACGTTAGCACATGTCCTTCGTTCGCTCAATCAAGACTGCCTCTGTCGGATCCAAGTAGCGCAGTATCAAGCTGATATAATCGATATCGGTCGGCGACACAGAAGGGTGTGTGAGGAGGGAAGACTTGCGAGTAGAAGGGGCGAGCGGCGGCCTGTGAGAATCAAAAGTGAGTGATTAGCCAATTGCGGTCGCGCGACAGGTATCTGCAGGATGTTCAACGTACCATTTTGAATTTCGTCTGTCAATTCGCACGTCTCGAGTGGTGGCAAGTGTGCTTCGTTGCGGTCGGCGAGGCGATGATCGTTCGGGGGTGGGTTGAATCGGATGGTGTTGGGAGTCTTGACGAAATTCGCGATGTTCCGGGAAGCACTTGGCTTTGCCGAAATACATGGGCTCTGATTGGCTCTGCGGTCTACCTTCCCTTGGACCACCGACTACTGGATGACTAAGACGCATCAGCCTCATCTGTCACCCCCAGCCACATTTCCAACACGCCACAGATTTCTAGACAACGTCGGTAATCGCTTGGGAGCTGCGACTGTGCTGAAGACATGCCATGAGTATTAATCAGGCGTTCATTTGACGTACGCCAAATTAGACGCTCATGTGGTCACATCATCACATCTTGTTGTGGTTTTTGGTGAATACGGTACGACGCACATTTTCACTACTACGTCCAAACACTTACAGCAGTCGAAGAACGATGTGACGAAGCAATTTAATCAAAGGAGTTCTCGTTACTAATTACTACTATTATTACATGGCTGCGAGCCTATTGTTGCTAAGATTCCTATGCCTCAACCTTCCTTGATAGGCGAGACACTGTGGTCGTGGCCACCAATCTTTGCCTTCGCGTGGACTTTGGCATTGTGCATCCGCTGTCGGAATGGCATGTGCTCCTGCGCTCTGCGACCTCTGAGTCCAGTGTGTGTCCGCAGAGGAGGTTCAAGTCCGCCCGTGAACTTGCGATGCTCTTCGAGACGCTTCTCAGAGATCGTATCAGGCGCCCACCTCTTGCGGATGAACCACGGCAGGCATGACGCTACCCACGCGTCGGGGATGAGACGGATGAAGACTCCCCAAGGAAGAGAAATCGCGCCGAGACCAATAGAGAGACCCCATTCCTTGCCATTCAAAGCATGGATCTGGAAGGCCTCACCTCCCTTGAAAACAATGAGAACCTGACCACCAATCATGATCAGGTTGATTCCGATGAAGAAGTAATTCTTGGTGATGTTCTCAAAAATGTTGAATCTGTTGTCCAGGCGGCGGTTGCTAATCGCGAGTCAGTTGATTGTTCACCATTCTTCTACCATGAAAGACTTACTTGAGTTCGTTGAAGATTTGCAGCCAGACAAATGTGTTGAAGACGAGGGTATTCAGACTCTTGGTATCGTCTTCAGATGTGCCGTAGCCCAGAAGGCTGCGTCCAGCAAAGTTCAAGACAAAGGTGATGACGAGCTGTAAAATGGCCTGTCCGATGATCATCTTTGCCATTCTTAGCGTGATAAGTGAGGCAGATTTTCGGTCAGGCTTGCGGTCTAGGACACTCCGCGTCGGCGGGTCTGTGGCAAGCGCGAGTGCCGCGAATGTGTCCATGATCAAGTTGACCCAGAGTAATTGGACGGCATTGAGCACCGACTCTTGGGTGGGACTGGCGACTGCAGAGACGAATGTCAAGACAACAGCGGTCACGTTCACGGTCAGTTGGAACTTGGGAATGTTAGCGACTTCATTCGACTCTCCATACTGGTGAAACTTACCTGCAAGAACTTCTTAACGGAGTCGTTCACAGCTCTTCCCCACATCAAGGCTTTGACGATCGAAGCAAAGTTGTCATCCATCAGAATGATGCCAGATGCTTCTTTGGCGACTTCAGTGCCAGCAATACCCATGGAGAACCCAATATCTGACAGCTTGAGCGCGGGCGCGTCGTTCGTGCCGTCTCCAGTCACAGCAACCGTCTCGCCAAGATCCTTGAGAGTCCGAACAAGGATTCTCTTGTCTTCAGGACTGGAACGTGCAAGAACTTGAAGTTTGGGAACGATGTTCTTGAGTTCTTCCTCAGTCTTTCTGCGGAAAGTTGGGCCTTCCATGGCAATGCCGCCATCTTCGGGATGATAGATGCCACATTCCTTGGCGATTGCTCTTGCCGTCAAGATGTTGTCTCCAGTAACCATGCGGACCACCACACCAGCGCGGTTGCAGTCCTTGATGGCGTCGATGACGGATGATCTCAGCGGATCTTTGATGCCGTAAATCGCAATGAGGGTCATGTCTTGGTGAATCTTGTCAAAGTCTGCACTCCTCGAATCATCCTCAGAGACGGCTTCTTTTGGCGGCCAAGAGTCGAAATCCCGGAAGGAAGAGCCAATGGTGCGAAGGGTTTGGCCAGCGTACGAATCAATGGTTTGCGCAAACATGTCCTTGTCTTCCGTAGTCAAGTCCACAACGTTGAGCTCGGAGCCGTTCGGGTTGTCCAGCACCTTGGTGCATTTTCCGAGGAGAATCTCAGAGGCTCCCTTGACGTAAGCCCTGTATTTCCCGTTCGAGAGCTTGACAACAGTAGCCATGTACTTGACTGCCGAGTCAAAAGGAACAACTTGAACAACATTTGCGTTTGATCGCTCTTCCTCGACTGGCCCGGCTCCCAATTGATCCCGGCTGAAAGTGAGAAGAGCAACTTCAGTCTTGGACCCGATAAAAGTCTGCTCTCCGTCTTGGTCGCCCTCGAAGGCAGTGGAGTTGACAGCATTGCCTTGAATGAGAAGCTGCTTCGTCTCAGAGCTGAGGTCTTTGGCAAAATCTCCGGCTGAGACATTTCGGACCGAGTTGACGTGGGTTTCGTCGGAAGGGGACGTGCTGTTCTTGGGTTTCTCTTCTTTTGACGATTCGAGAGGAGCGTCGGTACCACCAAAACTGATGCTCTTGCCCAGTGTAGTGGCAACAACTGACATCTTGTTCTGCGTGAGGGTACCTGTCTTGTCTGAGCAGATCGTGGTCGCGTTGCCCATGGTCTCGCAAGCCTTGAGGACTCGCACCAAATTGTTGTCTTTCATCATACGCGATGTTGCGAAAGAGAGCGCCAGAGTAACAGCCAGAGGCAGTCCCTCGGGAACAGCCACAACGACAACGGTAACCGAAACAATAAAAAGCTTCAGGAATTGCTGGCCTTTCTGTTCAGGGGTACCATTGTTCGTGGGAAGTCCAACGCAGAACTTGATGAAAAGGACGACGAACAGCAGTAAAGCTGCGGCAAAACCAGCTTTCGCAATCCAATCAGCAAGAATGTTGAGCTTTCTCTGCAATGGAGTATCTTCTTGTTCGGTTCTCAGAGACATGGTAATGCGGCCGTATGAGGAATTGACGCCTACTGCAGTGGCCATGAAAGTACCCGTGCCTTCTTGAATCTTGCTGCCGGAGATGATGAACGGATCCATCTTCTCAATATCGGGATGATCGACGTTATCGTTCGCCATTTTGTCAAGAGCAGCGTAGACTTCGTCGGCGCCGACCTTTTTCAGGAGATCAGACTCGCCTGTAGCCGATGACTCGTCGCACTTGACCCCGTGACCTTCAATGAAGATGCCATCAACAGGTACCACTAGAGAGTCGGATATTAGCCAGGAATCGACCTGAAGTCCCAAAGATTATACGTACTGTCGCCAGTTGAGAGATGAACCACATCGCCAACCACAATGTTGTAGATAGATATTTCCACTGACTTGCCAGACCGGATGACCTTGACAGTACGATCATCATTCTTCTTGTTGAGAGTGTTGAACTTTTGTTGCATTCGCCAGTCATTGATCGAGCCAACCATGACGACGATCACAATGGCAACCATAATGGCAACACCCTCGACCCATTCGACTCGAGCTTCACCCGGTTCATGGCTTTGTCCAAAAGTCTCGTATAAGCCCAGCGCAAGAGAGACGACGGCGGCGATCGACAACAAAATCAACACCTTGTCGTTGTAGGCGATCCACACCATCTGCAAAAAGGACTTTTGCTTTTTGTCGGGCAGTCTGTTGTCACGAAACGCATGTTTGCGGTCCGAGAAGCCACCAGTATACTCGCTTGGAGGAGGCGGAATGGGAATGTCATTCTTCGCTTTTGGGTCTGGCTGGGGGACTGTGTTTCCAGCTGCACCGTACTTGGGGACGCCCTTGAGGGCCACCTCCTCGAACGAAACGGCATGATCCAACTTGTCTTCGTCAACACCCAAACCGGTCTTGCGGTTGGTTTGAAGACCCTTTTCCAGACCAGCAAGACCACCGAGAGCGTAAAAGGCGTTATGACTTTTCGGGTTCAAGAGCTTGCTCAGATGACCGGGGGCGAACGCGAACTTGTTGTTTTCTTTCGTGTTAAACATGTCTTCGGTGCCGCGATCAGGAGTCAGAGCATCTGCCGTATCCAATGAGAACTTCCGGGATCCATGGTGGTTCTCATCCTTGGCTGTCTTGGCCTCGATATCAAGTGGCTGTTGCTGACTCTTTTCGTCCTGATCCGAGACATTGACGCCTTTCTCGGCATCTTTGTTGGCTGTCGCCATAGTAGCAATGGGGACTAAGCGATGTGGCGAGTAGCCTTCGGATTGATGCGGTATTCAGATGCTCAAGTTGATTTCTGTCGGGTATTATTCCAGAATTTTCTGTCGAAAGAAGATGTGATTGGGCCAAGAAAGGTGTTGTTGTTTGATCCAGACCGTTACTGAATTAGGAATGGAAAGGCGTAGAGGCAACGGGCAGATGTTGCTAAAGCCTGTGAATGTAAGCTGGAAGGAGTGAATGTTGTCGTGCTTGCCCAGTGAGTCGAACGAAGTGCGGAAGCTGCTCCGAATTTTACCTGGAGAAGGCGCGGTGATGCTTCTGGGAGGCCTCCTCTAAGGTATAAGGGAAGGAACAACCACCACAGAAGTGCAGAGCAATTTGGATAGAGAAGGAGAGGAAACAACAAGACAAGCAAAAGAGAGAGGAACGGGACATGATGTTATTGTCTACTCCCTACGAAAAGTCACTAAGCAGGCACAGCATCCTTGGCAAGCCTAACTTGTACCTGGTAATACTTAACCACAGCATCATCAGCAATTTCACCTGCCGTCACAGCTTTCACTAAGCCCGATGCCTACCTTTTTACGTGCATAAATCGCGGCACTCCGGGGATGAAGCAAGCTGTACCAATCATCGGACGAACAATGACGATGGAAAAGTGTTGTTGACCACAAAATGGTCCGGAGGAAGCTGACCATGGAACGGTCAATGCCAAGAACGAGCGTGCAGGGCTCGGACGATTGTCGCGAGCGCATTCGCTGGCTGCTCCTTCAAGTGGTTTCTGGTTTGATGAGAGCGAGACCAATACGTCGCCTAAGTCTTGGCAAACGCGGACTGAGTCCAGAAAGCTTGACTGGTCGAAAGAAGCTTGTGTTTTCTTGGCCAAGTCACCTGTACGGACGAAGATGGACGGCTATTTGGTGTTATTGGGAGAATTCCCCTTAATATCAATTCTCCCTCTCATTTCATCAGCGAGCCAAGGCGCGGTGCATTGCGGTTCAGAAAGTTGCCTTGCCTCCCTCAAATGGATATGGCGGCATGCGTTTCTTGTTTTTCATGGTCTGAAGTCTGGCTCCCCCAATGATGAGGGAGGGCGCGCCATGTGCCACTCCCTCTCAGCCATGGTTGTATGTCTACATCATGCTGCCTGATGAGGGAAGCGCCATTCATCCACACCTTTATGCCGACGGGAGACGTTGAAAGGTGGCTTGATGGTAACCACCCAGTCTGCAGGGCAAGCAATGCTGATACTTTGCGTCTAGATAGCGGTTGATACCAGTTGCTTAAGAAGCTACCGCCTCAGAGAGCGGGTGCAACCCGTATGGATGACAATCTGGTTGAAACGGGTAATTAGGCAGCTTGACTTACAATGGCCAGACGGAACGGCTTGGTGCGCTGTCGCCCACATTCCACCCTGTCAACGATTTCAGTTGCCAAGACCTCATTGTTTTGAGACAGCACAGCTGGACAGGCAAACCGAAGTGAAAAAAAACCTGGCAGCACAGGGATTGGTATTCGCTAACATGGGATGGCACAGAAAGCACCGTACTTCCCGTCGTCTCCCTAAATTCCTCCTCACCGAAAGATACGCCGGCAGTCTGCAGGTCTGACCAGCCCAGAAGATGCGACACACGTGGCGTCATCCTGGCCAGATCGGTCGTCCACGACTGTTCTCTCGGCGCTGGAGAGTGCGAGTTTGCTTGGTCGTCCAAGAGGTGGCTGCCTCCCTCTCACCTCCTCTTCCTTGCCCAACTGCCATGACAGATCTCTGATGATCGGTATTCGTAGTGTAGATACGGAAGTTTGGAACGTAAGGTGAGGTGCTATCCTTGCTGGTTTCCTTCTCGTTTGGTGTTCCTGAATCCGTCAGAGTAGATCATGTGTTTGCAGCCAATCAGCGTCTTGTTTATCCAAAGAAGGTTCAGACCCCAGAATGGTCAGTGCGCGACGCAGGAGGGGTTGTTTCGACCTCAACTTCCACACTCGCTTTCTCTCCCACCAGCCAATTCAAAACTGACGTGAGAGCTGTCGACCGTAGCTTCGCATCGAAACCTGGCTTCAGCCGGCCCTGTATGCCATCTCAGCTTGAACCGCGCAGGTAGATCATCACGCTGCCCCGACGTCTGCAGCTCCCCCGGCTCTCCGCGAAACGGTCCAGCTGCACGCACATACCCCGCCATCCCCTTGTGCCGAGCTTAAGCTGCCAGCTGCCGCATCGCATAAGTGCCAGGCCATCACCGAACGCTTTGGGCCGCTGGTGAGCACTCGCCTCCAGCCTGCCTGAACGGCACAGCCTTGCGACGAACCCACGAAGCTCTCGATTGGGGCAGTTCCCCAAACACAGCCGGACAGCTTGTAGCTTCTTGCTGCGGCCAGCTCTATTGAGCTGTCAAGGTTTCACGACAAAATGCCTTCCGAACCTACAAAGGCCTCTAACGCAGGCATCATCACGGATGATGCCGGCGAACGCCAGATCCCCGAGTCGAAGCGAGCGGACGGCAGCGTCCGCAAAGCCATCAAAGTTCGCCCCGGCTATCGCCCCCCTGAAGATGTCGAAGTCTACAAGAACCGCACTGCCGCAGGATTCCGTGATCGCGCGACAAGAGGCGGTATTCCTGGTGCGACGGGCCTGAAGGAGGAAAAGCCGGACGCCTCGTCTTCCGCCGCGAGTAATAAGAATGCAAAGCGTCGAGAAGCGCGAAAGAAGGCCAAGGCTACCGGCGAGGAGGAAGGGGACGATACGAAGCAGACTGGTGGTGACGATAATGCTGCCAAGGCCGAAGAGGCTGACCCCGAAGTCGAGAGAGAAAAGAAGGCTCGGAATCTTAAGAAGAAGCTGAAGCAGGCAAAGGACCTCAAGGACAAGAAGGAAGGCGGAGGGACGCTTCTGCCCGAGCAGATCGCCAAGGTCATCAAGATCAACGAGCTTATTCGCGAACTCGATGCTTTGGGATTTGATGCTGAAGGAGAGCCCAAAACTGGCAATGGGGCCGACGGAGAGTCCAATGCGAAGGAATCATCCAAGGAAGCCTGATAATTTTCTTTGTGCTTCTGGCGTCTTTTCACTTCGATGTTGGCTCTGCCATGCGATTGATCACAGTCCAAAGCAATCCATCAACTTCACTGCCCTATGTGCACCGCGTATATCGAACGGATGCCTCACCTACAAAGCGCACCCATCAGGGAAGAAGCTCTTGAATAGAGCTTTTGAACTGATTGGCAGCCAAAGAGCGGTCACTAGATCAGTTGGCCTTTGCAAGCTCGATACACCATTTTGTCTGGTTCTGGGGTAGAATTAGGATTGCATGATGTGCAATCCCAAGATCATCGACGACCCCGATCTTCTTGCGGCAACGTCGGATCCGAATTCACATTTCTCTCTGGGTTTTCCTGAAACTACAGAATGTGCAACTTGGAGATGGAAGCAGGGCATGACTTTGTCTAGTCGTTGGCATAAAGATGCTTTCCGGCGTGCAATGCATGACGATGGTGGTAGATCAGCATGTGGACAAAGCAGATATGAGAATTGGGGAATATGAGGCAATTGCCTATATAAACATAGACTGCTTCCAATACGAAAAACTCTTTACTACAACACGCACAATACAAGTCTTGTTCGCATCTCGATGTGATATTGTTCTAGAAAGTGGCAATGCGGGTAGCGGGGACCCCCAAGCGCATTGATCTTGCGGGGCAAAGCGTCTCAGCCGTCTCGCGTCGAGGCATCAGGTTGCATTGTTTGCCTGCGTCTGCGACGAAGAGAAGCAGCACTGACATGTCTCCTGTCTTGGTGTTTCGTATTGGAGACTAGGAGGTGGAAAGGGGCCTTGTCAACAAATGCTTCTCCTTCTCTATCCTGGGGCCGATCCGGATCACAATGGGCCATCTTTTCCGGAGGCCGATCGGAGCCCAGCCCATGGCATCCAGGTGGAGAGGGATCTGTCCCAACTTCCGGATCATACCCGGCTCGCGCCGTGGGGTTCGGCCGGGGGGTCTTTTTGTAATTTCCTCCGGGAGAAGTGGAGTTGGCAGATGCTCGGTTCCACCAGGCAAGATGCCATCCCGTCACCACTCACCATCACCCTATAGCATCTGTTCCAGTAAATAGGTCTTGCAAGGCGCTGGGAAGTCAGTAAGTCAGTGCATTGGAATCTTATCAATTACCTTTTGCAAGCTATAGTGGTGGCATGTCATGCGTATTCCAGACTCGACTTGAAGTGAGGCTGGCTGTGAAGATCGTTCAAGATGCTGCCAACTTTCTTTTGTTCCTGATGCACCCAATGTGCGGAATATTTCGTTGAAGATATGGGCTGATGCGAGAAAAGAAAGCTTCGTTACCGATGACGAGCCAGTAAGTGGATCCGGAGAAGATGCCCAGAAGATGCTATCGTATCCTACCACGCATGTTCGGAATTCGCCATCCAGTAACATCGGCGGCCGACGTGACCTTACTATTGCTCTTTCTCACTCATCTATGAGATATGCAGGTAGATATCCCTTGGTCTGACAGAAAAGATGCGTAGGATCAGGAGCGATATATTGTTGTCTCAGAATCTCTCGTAAGGCATGCTACTGCAATTACAGATAGCTCTTGAGGTACTTATTTAAAACAGAGTTTCCAATAATTCTCATTACTACCGCCGTGAAGACTTCATTCGGCAGGAGACGGGTATTGACCAGGGCAATCTGGTTTCGGTCAAGTGAAAGATCTGTAGATCGTCCCAGGGACGCATTCATCTTTCGGTCAACCACAGAGTATCGACGCTGGCGACAGTAGGTAGTACCAATAGATCATCCTCCGGATGAGCCGGAAATAAGGACAGCAGTGACCAAAGATCTAAATCAAAAGTCCGACTAGGCCACTGATGAAGCCTCTGACGAAGACGAGATCCTATATTTCAATTATCAAAATCCAACGCTGAATTACTCACGATAACTCTATCCTTTAGCAGTGGTGGACGGGAAGCATTCTATATAAAGTCACAGTGCAGCGCGGGGCGAGGCAGCGCGGCCGCGGCCAGGGAGACAGCTGTCGGCATCGCACCGGGACCATCCTGACTTCCTGATTGGGGGGGGGGGGGGGGGGACCCGGGGGCCGAGCAACACTCTTTGATGCGCTGGTGTGGCGTCAAAGCTAGGGTGGAGCTGAAGCTTAGCCACCCGACTCGCGTGCTGCGAAACATACCTCCTACGCTGACGTTTCCCTCCGGACATGTGTTTGACTTCGACGACTTTCCAACCGACACGTTAATCACCCAAGTCAATTACCACTGGGCTGGCCCGTACGATCACTCCTGCTGTCTATCGCGTCCGCCTCGGGACGAATCTTGTTGCTTTTGGGCGACCCTTACATCCCCTGATAACCTGTTCTTTTTGATGATCACCAACATCCAGACGAAGCTCCGAACATGAGGCTTAGGGGCAAGGCTGCCGCCCCGTGGCGCATCCTGCTGTCGGTCTTAACCTTGACAGCAGTTGTCCATGCAAAGGACGAGCCGTCAATCAAGGTCACCGCCATCAGACATCCTCCCATCAACCTGAATTACTTCGAAGACTCCGACTCCATCCTTTACCACGATGTCTCCGAACGAAACATTTATCGGTCCGACGATGCGGGCGTGTCGTGGAACAAGATCTCAGACGTCCCTGGCGAAAAGGCCTACATGCTCACCATGCACGAATTCGACAAGAGCCGCGCCTACGTAATCACCGAAGGCAAAGAACACTGGAAGACCTCCGACAAAGGCAAATCATGGCAGAAGTGGGAGAGTGTCGCCGGCACCAGCGCCTTCCGCGAGGACATCCTCCATTTCCACGCCGGCGACCCGGATCGCATCATCTTCAACGGCATGGACTGCGCCGGCATCTTTTGCGAAGAAGTCTCCATGTACACGACAGACGGCTTCAAGTCCAAGGCGAAGCCCCTCAGATTCAACACTGCGGGATGCTGGTGGGCCAAGTCCTCGGACCTCTTCACCACTGGCAAGGACGACCTCGACAAACAGCGGATTCTCTGCATCGTCCGCGACAGCTTTTCGCCTTTCAAGGAAGACCAACGCCTCTTTGCGTCTGATAACTACTACGAAAAGGTTGACAACAAGATTCAAGAATTCGAGCCGAACATGGATACAACCCGGGGAGTGCAGGGTGTCGTCAATTTGGCCGTGGTCAAGAAATACTTGATGGTCGCCACGTCATCCCTCAATACTGATGAGATGGCTCTCTTCGTCACAGACGACACTATCAAATGGCATCGCGCCATGTTCCCCACCGATCATGGCCACAAGATCAACCAGGAAGCCTACACCGTCTTGGAAAGCACAAACTACAGTATCCAGATTGATGTCATGAACACGAGACCCTCGAACCCAATGGGTGTCATGTTCACAAGTAACTCCAACGGCACTTTCTTCATCGAGAATCTCGAGCACACAAACCGCAACTCCCGTGGTCACGTCGACTTTGAGAAGATCTCTGGTGTGCAGGGCATCTTCATTGTCAATACTGTGAAGAACTATGAAGAGGTTGAGAAGGACCCCCGGAAGGAGAAGCAAATTGTCACCAAGATCACATTCGATGATGGTCGCAACTTCCACGGCCTGAAGACGGGTGACGATGAGCTGCAGCTGCATTCTGTCACTGATCTCGACAACGTTGGTAGAGTGTTTTCTAGCCCTGCCCCTGGTCTTGTTCTCGGAATCGGAAACAAGGGCAAGGCTTTGACCAAATTTGGTGAAGGAGACGTTTACGTTTCCGACGATGCGGGTGTAACTTGGAAGAAGGCTCTCGACGGCCCTCACAAGTACGAGTTTGGTGATCAGGGCTCCATCCTGGTAGCCGTCAAGGACTCCAATAAGGAAGATGTGGGAGAAATTCAATACTCCTTGGACCATGGCGAGAATTGGAAGAAAGCCTCGCTCCCGGATGACCTGAAGATTAAGCCCGAGCTGATCACAACGACACAAGACTCGACTAGTCTCAAGTTCCTGCTCGTCGGCAGGACAGGAGGCGATAATGCCAAGTACCACATCATTGCGATTGACTTTGAAGGCCTGCACGAGCGAACGTGTAAGGACGACGACTTGGAGGACTGGCACGCCCGCCCCGATGCCGATGGCAAGCCTACCTGCCTGATGGGCCACAAGCAGACGTACCGCCGCCGTAAGAAGACGGCCGACTGCTTCATGAAGCAGGAATTCAAGGACCCTGTTCCTGTCACTGAAGACTGCGAGTGTACGGATGCAGACTTTGAATGCGACTACAACTTCGTCAAGGATGGTGATAACTGCAAGAAGGTTGGCCCCATCGTCGCGCCTGATAATGCCTGCAAGAATGCCAAGCCGGACGACACGTTCAAGGGATCATCGGGCTGGCGCAAGATCCCCGGAAACACCTGCAAGCGGAAGAGTGGCGCGCAAAAGGACGACGAAGTTGAGCGAAAGTGCTCTGACGTTGGCGGCACTCCTAGTGCCCCTGCTGATGGCAAGATCAAGGCGGTCCAGCACGTCTTCAAGACAGACCTGAAGGACTTTGAAAAGATTTACTTGGAGAGGGGCGAGTCGAGCACTGAAGTTGATGAGACCATCCTTGTAAGACCGGTCGAGTACGCTGGCAACAGCATGCGAGCCGACAAGCAAATTTGGCGAACAAAGGACCATGGCAAGACTTGGGATAAGATTCTTGAAGACGAGGAGGTGCGCGGCATCTACCCGCACTACTACTTTAAGGATGCCGTGTTCTTCACCACCGACTCTAAGAAGGTCTTGTACACGATCGATCGCGCCGAGCATTTTCACTCGTTTGAGGCGCCCACGAAGCCCGGAACGAGCAACCCTCTCTCCTTCCATCCCGACAAGAAGGACTGGCTCATCTGGATAGGCGAGAAGTGCGAGAAGATTGATGGCAAGGACCAATGTTTCAAGGAGGCGTCGATCTCAAGGGATCGCGGTGACAATTGGAAGACGGCCATGCGCTACGTCCAGAAGTGCGAGTTCACCGGTCACTCGGCCTACAAGTTCCGCGATATGCGCCAAGTTGTTTGCCTTGCCCACAAGCGCGAGGACAATGAGAAGGATAACCCAAAGGTCATCGTCTCCAGCAAGGACTTCTTCGACGAGGACAAGCAATTTCACCATTCAGATGTAAAGGACTTTGCCACCATGGCCGAGTT